AAATAGTGAATAACAAGTATCACCAACTTTCATTTTAAAAAGAGAGCACAACGTTGGCGAAAAGTCAACATGGATATAAACACATATGATCGCGACATTGATGTTGTAAAAATATTATATACTGTACATTAATTTCCAAACTTTGGTAACCCCTACACCCATGTGAATGCATGAATTCATTTATTTCAGCTAAATTATTCACTGCTCCAAAGTGAGAGCCGTGCCGCGAACTATTCGCGCGCGCAAGTGCAGTTCACGAGAGTGGTCCTTTGCCTTTTAGTGGGGGCATTCATCGCGTGACATGATGTTGTACAGGACGACAAATTGTAAAATACGCTACAGCTTGGGTTTTGGCTGCAATGACTACAAATATCTTTAGAACTGCAATCAACGCTGAAATTTGTTCCTTAACGAGCCAGCAAAAAAAGAGAAATCATGCTTTGTAATAAAACGATTTTACAAAAAGCTCGCTAAATCTTTTGAAAACATAGAATTGCTCTGATGTCTGGTAAACTCTTTTATTCAGGTAGTGCAATTGCATACTCATGACGGCGATAAGGTGTAAAGGCCAAGGTGTTTGATCTGTACTTTGAAGTGGCTGACATCTACCATCTAGTATATGGTGTAGTTAATTTAGATATCGTGGGTTGTCGAGCTGGAGACGTCGAAAACAATTGGAAAATCTGACTGATCGAAAACCTTCACAGGTTAGGTAGTGATACGCTAAAATGAATCAAACTCATGCGAGTTGTTAGGTGAGTAAGTGAACGAGTCTAGAAGTCGATATAATTTTGATGTGCTAGAAAGTTCGGAAAACCTTTAAACCCTTCAAACTTACATGATGATCAGGAAATTGTAATCAGACCGATAGAATAACCTATCACTTTGCTCAAAGTAATTATGAAGCTGCAGCATCCTAAATTTTTGAATCTACTGTTTTTTCAACTGCGATAGCACGAAATTTGTCTAGGGAAAGGGGAAAGGGGGTCGGAAAAAATCGGCCAAAGGGGGAGTGGCCTAAACGGGGCTTCCACACCCGGATCCCTCCCAGCAGAATTAGAGGTAGGGTATACACAGTATACCTAACTCTCACAAAGTTGATTGAATCTAAGGCACATCTTGTGTAAAATCCTTCTTGGAAAGGAGTCTGAGCTCAAAATGCGACGACGTGATCCAATCACCTCATCCATAGTGATTCAACAATCAGGTTCTCCTTCACTGATGCAGCACTGACTTAACCAAAATAATTTAAAAAATTGACCTCAAAATGTATTGCTAAAACAATTTCGTTATGTCCCCCATCAGATAATCTTCAGAACTAAATGTTTTGTACTTACCGAACAGCAGACCTTCAAACCATTTTCACTCCCTACACAGGAAAGGTTGGTATGAAGTTTAAAAAAAGAATATGTTCACGATTAGGATTCTAAGAGATAGGCCATTCTCCATTTCTTATTTTCAATAGAAGAAATAGCATCTAATTATACTGCAGCATTCATAAACCGTTGTACCAACTAACACTTGCATTTCACTTTTTTTCAGAAACAATTTGCGGGCAAACGATAAGTGGTATTTTTTAGTACACAACTGAGGCTGGAAAATTTTTTGCCTTCCTTGCTGCAAAAAAAACGACATGAGTTTGACAATACACCTGATGTACCGTTTTTTGCCCTATATTACGGGAGCATATAACTGTCGTAAGACACGAATAGATCAGCAGATTCCTTCTTTCCAAGCAATACTTGGTCGCTTTCACTTCACTTCTTTTGGGTACCTCTCAATAATAAAACGTCCATCGAAGGTAAATTTAGTGAGGAATTTGTTTGGATTTTGCATAACATCTCAGTGTTCCTCTTCGGCAGGTGATTACTGCACAATGTATGAATCAAAACTAACGGTCGTAAGGTAGAATCCAATTTTTGAATAAGAACCAAGAGTTCAATGTTTTCTTATGTGTAACCTAATGGCTCCCACATTTTCCAAGAATTACAGACTTTGAGAAACCAATTTTCAAAAATCGAAAAGTAAATCACGGTACTAGACCGCGGAAAATTGTGAGGGTGTCATCGAGATTTTCCCCAAATTTGACAATTTTCACATAAGCAAAGTTGCGAGAAAAGGTAGAAATGCCTCATGAAGTCTCCAAGAAAAAAGCCATCCCCTTCATAAAAAAAGAAGCATGTGAGCAACAGTAGAATGATCAACTGTTGAAAGTCATTCGGGTTACAAGCAAAACAAAAGATTTTTCGTCACTTTTTGAAGTATTTTGTGATGAAAGACGAGAACGACAGTCGGAAGTTCTGGATCTGGTGACGAGGGTCGATGAAACCAGTCGAAAGCGACAATATGGCCACTCCCGCGTACCGTTTATGACTCATCAGCCCACTTCGTTTCCTGTCATGCTTACATAATCAATAATGAAAGTAAACAAAACGTTGCAACAACGTGTTCTCTTTAGTCTCCTTAGCTAATAGTGTGTTTTTTGCATAACGTCGTCCCGAATCATGTTATCAATTGTCGAGAAAAAATAATGCTTTTGTGATCACTTTCAAAATCATTCTTATAACCTCTATCTTATATGTGTTTTTTAGATAATCGTTTTATCTCATACTCATTTGCTCTCTTCATATTACTTTTTATCTCGACAATTTGGGTTTTACAAAGTTTGAGATTTCTGAATGTCGTTGCTAGATTTGCTAGTTTTTGATATACCTGGGATGATTGGAGCTGGCTAATAGTATTCCGAGAGAACAACGTAGAAAGAGCTACTCTCCGTCTGTCCATTTTAACTCGAAATGTTATGAAGAAAATTTCCTTCAGCTAGAATCATGGCTTGATTCCATGTTGCGCGAGCCTAGTTTCTATGCTCTATCATATG